TCTATTTCCAGTTTTGAAAAGACCAACTCTTAAATCAGATAAAAGGGCAGAAGTCCAACATACATAGTCTTTCAATGAAGTCTTCTCTTAAGTAAGAAAATTGGGAGATTTATTTACGTGTTAGAAAACAATATTCAATGTCTGAGCCCCTTCATCATTTCCAGGGCATATATAATTGTTTTGGACACCAAATTTTCTCTGCTTAAATTTCAAGTTAATGTAGCCAAATGAGATAAAAGCATAGGGATCAGCTCAGAACATGAGGATGAGTACAGGATGAAATGATGAAATCAATGGTAGGGTGCAAATATAAGTATTTGTTTTCCTCACATGATCTTTGTCCTTAATAAAGGGTGGGAGGAGAAAATAGTTTGTCGTTTACACCCACTCAGTCTGGATGTACATTTTACTATAAAAGTTCTGTCCCTGGAAACATGGCCTGCTCAAGAGTAGAATACAGTTGCTAATAATTGTTTTCAAACATCAGAAACAGTGTTCATTTTTATGTAAAAAGTTGGGATTTAGGGCATTTCCATCAATCTTCAAAACCATCTTTTTGGAATACAGTTGAGAAATTCAGTATATATCTGCATCAAAGAATAGAAAATTTTTCCCTCTGCACCCAAGTTGGATCTTTAATATTATGCAAAAAGATAACTACTTTCAAATTGAATTATTACTTATACATGTGCCTCATTTAGAAACACATAAGAGATTTCATATTTGATCCTTTGGTCGTTGAGACTACCCATGCAAAATCTACTCCATTTTTAGCTATTTTGCAAGTATGTCCTTATTAATACAGCTATTTCCTCAAATCTGCAAGTGAGATACCACCAAATTAATTTGCTCAGATACACACAAGCATGGCACAAGAAACTTGCTGAGTGAAGACTAAGAAGAGGAAGAAAGAGGCTGATTAGGTTCAACATACTGGCAGGTCTTCAAAATTGCTTTGGTTGAGGAAATGTACTGCCAACAGAACAAGGCGGCCAGGATAATTGCGTAGGACCAGAATGATGGTATTTACTGCCTCAGGTATTTGTGGCTTCCTTCCACTCATGCAAAACAGCTCTGACTGACTTCTCATGGGTGATGTTGCCCTCACTATGCTCAGTCAGGTTATGCAATTGTTATGGGCTGCTTATGCAAAAAAATGTACCGTAGATGTTTTGAAAGATCTATAAAATTGATTTTTTTTTTACACTATACATGTTTAATTATTAGGAAAAAAGTTCAGAGAACACTGCACAATTCCATTGGAAGTATCACAGTCAGAGCTCTTGTCCACCTGTTTGTTTATAGATTTTATGTAATGATTGGATTAATATTTGATATGTATGATTCATTTACTGAATTTTGTTCAGGTGAAAATTTTTAGCCCTGTGTATTAAATATTTGCACTTAATTATCATCCTTTTTACACTGGAGGGTTTTGGGTATGGGAGAAGGTTCAGGTAGGCATTGAATAGCCTCTTGGCATTCTGAGTTAGTCCTTCAGTGTGTCTAGCACAGTTCAGTTTCATGGGAGATGTGCTTAGTTTCTTATTAAGGTTAGATCTTGTGAGCTGGATGAAACGAACATCATTGTCTGTAAGCAATTTTTGATGCCAAAGCGTGGTATTGAAGATATTTAGTCTTTTTGTTTAACTTCGACTTGATTTCATTAAGTTAAGTGTGGAAGAAAATAGTTATGAATGATGCAGTAACATTTTCTTAAGGCATGAAACGTAGTAAATACTTTATATTTTCACTTTGTAGATTACTCTGGAAAAAAAAGGCCATTGTCTGCTTATACCTGATTGCACTTGTCTTTTCAAAATGGTTATTTTCACAAGTTCTGTTCATGTTGTGATTTAATGGCATTGAAATAGATCACTTAAGAATTGATGTATTCATTTTTATCATATTTACATCAGCTGCAGCTCACATTTAAATAGCAATTTGTAATTTCTGCCTAAATGTTGCTTTCCTCAGCAACGATTGATATCATTCTCATGGTTATATATTCCAATTTCCTACTGTGTCTTTGAAGATCTACTTTTATGAGAAGTGAAAATAAATTTCCTCATTCTTCTGTATAGCTGATAATGAAATTGAGCTTCAAGAAAATAGACCATTATCCTGGGCTTTTTAATATTCAGCTTCCCAGTATTCTACCATAGTCTCCTTTTAATCACAAATTAAACTAAGCTTTTTTTTTGTTAGTTTGTTTCCCCTCATTACAAAGTCTCTTACGTATAAGACAGATTTCTCATGTTTAATATAGTTACTTGTGTGTTCACGAACTCTTTTTTCATGTGATATGTTTAATAAGGAATTAAGAAACTTTATTGTACAGTTGTAATGTATACTAATTTGCTTTTTGAAATTTACAGACTGAGGGATTTTTTTTTTATAATTTTACTTTTAGCGGAAGTGAGAAATAAGTACGTTTAGCGCTGTCTTTATATCAGCAACAGTTGCCACCCATGTTTTCACTTAACATTTTCCTAATGTCACCCATGCTACACTAAAATCCCCTTCAAAGATGATCCAGACTTAATGCACAAAACTAACATTGTTGTCAACCTTATCCTCAGAAGAGGTCCTCTGCTAAATGAAGTGTGTTAGATAATACAAACTGTGGCAGAACTATAGAATAGGATGTTTCTAGGTACTGTATAAAATGTGCGTGGTTATCTAACGTTATTTGTTTGCCTACAGAAATCAGACCTGTAATTTCAATAGTGATGGAAATCCCTGAACTTCAGACATTTAAAAAATTAAAACTGGACCAGATGTATAATACATTATTGTATTCTGAGATATGTTTAATACATTCCTGGTCTGCAGGAAACACCAAGCACAAATGAGTGTTGGAGATCAGAAGAAAAAGATGAGGAGCATTCTTGCACGTGCTTTGTGAATTGCCACAGACCTGGGAAAGATCTGTGCTCCAAGCTACACAGGAAATGCCAGGGTATAGCACTGCAGGGATTAGCACTGGACAGTGCGGTGCCCAGCTGTTGCTGGAGTCTCAGAAAGAATACAGATCTCATGATGTGGCACCCGCTTTGGGCTAATTAGGCATCGTTAGCTTCATATCACCAGGCACCGCTGTGCTGCATATACTCTGTTATGTAAGGAACTTAGACTTGCAGGATCTCCACGGTGTTGAATCCAATAACTTTTTAGATCATTCATACTGGTGGGAGTAACTGAGCTTATGGAAGCAGAAAGATTGCAATAAATTGCCAAGTTCTAGAAGCTAGGAGGTTTTTTTAATATTATTGCACCGAGACAGTTCTCCTTAGCTGTTTCTGATCTCCCTCTCTTTTCCTAGAAGTATTGTCACCCTGGAAACTTACTTGTGAAAGCATTTTGCAGGAAGTTCCCTAAAGTACAAATGATCTTTACTGAAATCATTAGGAAAAAACCCAGCAATGACATTTAATGGGTTGCACCAGGACACCTATTCTATAAGTTACCAGGCTTACAGTAAGCAAGAATCAGCCTGAAGTGCCTCTGTGAAAATTAAACTTGGTTCTGCTAACACCATGCTAAAGCCTACTCTGAGCCCTGGAATCAGTTTTGTCATGTCACTTGTCCATCAAAACACCTTTTTTAATAGCTGTATACTGTCCTACAGTAATTATGGAGCCACATTTCCTCCTTCCCTTCTTTCTTATCCCCACCTCACTCTCTCCAGTAAGGAACCATTTGTGCAACTTGAAGGTGATTATTTTTTGAGAATGTTACCAATTTAATCTAAAAATCAGTTGAGTTTCACTGTAGTCAGAAAACTGTGCATCCTCTTTGGTATCCAAATCCTCAGATCCTTAGGGGAAAAAGTCTTTGAAGTGAAATGTAAAAAGAATTTTAATTTTTTTATGCAGAAAGACAGAATTTTGGGGAGGTGAGAAAGAGGAGAGTGGAACAAGTACAATGTGCTTTTTCCAGTTTCTCTGATGCCAAGTGTGTTCAGTAGTACACAAACTCTGACTTTCCTTCTCCCCTTTGCATCACCTCAGTGATTTCAGTGTACGGTGACTTGTATTCTCCTCAGCTTTGCAGATCTCTGCAAATTCAAAGAAAAACTTCTAACTTGTTATTTCTGGCTGTGTTTTTGAATGAATACATGGATGGTGAAGAATGAAGTGATGCAGTGAACCAAGTTTGAGTGTTTTGAAGGGGTTTGGAATTTCAAAATATGCTTTGCATGTTACTTTTAAAATCATAAGTAATTTTGCTGTTTTCTCTGTGCAAATGCAAAACTGCTGAAGAAATTCTTGAAAAATGATAAATTGGTGATTCTGTGTTTAAAAATAAGTTAACTATATAGTTGTTGCTACTAAAGGTGTTCCATGATCCATTATATAAACAGGATTAACCATTTATTTAATATTTCTGTATAGTATTCCTCTCCTCGTACAGGGCCTGTAGGTGTCAAGTTTCTCAATTAGTCTGATAGTTTATGGCCTGTATTTAAATAAATTAATAAGTCTTAAGACTGTCAGCTAAGAATGTTTTGTATATTCTTAATCAAAACATTCAGTCTGGTATAGATATAATCCATCAGTTCTGTCCATTTTATTTTGGGAAGCTACTCTAATGTGACTGGCTAGGCACAGAAAATCCAACTGATAGCACCAGAGATAGGAGAGATTAAGCAGCTTCGTATTCATTCCCTACCTATGAGTCCAAAGACTTTTGTATATTGTGAAGTCATTTTGTGAATTTTTTTCAAAAATAGCATGTGTATAATGCAACTAGGTTATTCTCCACAATGTATATGCTATTCTTCTTGTGGTTTTTTTTATATTAGTATTTAATTCCAGAGCCTGTTGTGGGCTGAGTTCTCCTGTGTTGTGTATTGGTGAGCAAAAGACAAGTACCTCAGGAGATTAGAAAGATTGTGTAATGCCAGTTTTTACTGAGCCGCCAGACCTGCTGGGCAAAAATAATGTTGAAGTGGCCAAATTGTGCTTCATCGTACTTCCATGCTGACAGTGTCCAGAATGGCTGATAGAAGATGTAACTGGAGGGACACTTTTTTGGATAAGCTCGAGCAGACGGGGTTAGGATTAAGACAGTTCCCAACAGGATTCGTTTGTCTCGTTGTTAATGCTGGAGTAGTTCTCCTTAGCTCGGACATGATGCTGAATGTATGCATGTATCGCCCAATGCTGTTCCAGCCATGCTCAGACAATCTGCTCGTGGTTCAGAGCAGAGCGAGGTTAATGCACGGGCTCAGCATCCTCTCTACGTTTTAGTCACATTTTCACTGTTTTGCATGTTTATGTCATTTATTTTTTCCCCCACAAAACAACAAATGTCTTATCTTTAGTCTCCAGGTGCTACCGTAATATTAGTGATATGGACCGTTTGAATTCCTACAGAGCGTGCACGCTGTAGATGTGTATGTGTATCTATATATCAACCTAAAATATAGCCCAGCTGTCGTGTAGAGGCAAAAGCATTGTGAGGCAGTGGATCCTACTGATAAATCCTGAGGTTTTTTAGAAAAGTTGGCTTCTTTTTTTCCCCATTGTGTGGTGTTTCTGATAACTGTCTTGTGTCTAAATGCTCTCATGCTCAGCCTGTAATGCTACAGCTTTCATGTTAGATTGTATTTAAAGAATTTCCAAATTTTGATTTCTCTTGAATAGACTGGAAAAAATAGGCATTTTTGTAGTTTCTGTATAAAGAGGGTTTTATTTCATGTTGTACTAGCTGTTTGTTTTTCTTCTACAGTGCTTCATCATCTGTCGTTCCTTGAAGTGTACGGGCAATGATAAACTCCCTGTCCATGTTAACGGGAGTCGAGAATGCTTTGCTTCTCTCAGGAGTGGTGCCATATTACCAGGACAATGTATTGATTTGGTTGACTGCTGATGTGTGATGCACGACAGAAATGAGAAATTGAACTTTCTGAATGTGAAGTAAATCGTGCTGCTGCTGATATATAAATGATTTAGGAAAAAGCAATCAATCAGATTCTCTGTGCTGGTAGCAGCGCTACATACAATTCAATATATAGTAAACCAACAGTTCTTTTACAATCTAAATCAAATAGGCAGTGTTCTGTGCTAAGCTCAGATTCTTGCGAAAATGACTTGCAGCATTTTTGGGTTTAGTATGCTCTACTTTCTACATTACTGACATGTGATCTGATAATTTAGAAATGCTGAGCTGACATTCATTAATTCTGCCTTTTTCTTGACAAGAGCCACAGATTATTCTTTCTAGGCTGCTTATTACTATTTTACAATGGTTGGTCTTTAAATAATTTTAACTTGTATGTAGAGTTGTTTTGAGTCCCAAATACCTGCAGATGGAGTTTATTATAGCCACAGGTAATTGGACTTTAATATCTGTAAAACATCCACTAGAGACATGAGTAGGCCCATTCTCTCTTCTGGCAGATGTTTTGCAGATATTAGACTTAAATCCAATTATCTTTGGGTACTTTAGCAGTACACAATAGCATTTATGTGCAGATGACTATAATAATATTTTCTCTTCTCCATGTTATGAAATGAATGGATAATTTATCCTTCTTGGAAAGAGAGAGAAGTATTTTAATGAAAGCTTGAAGAGACTTCTTGAAATTCTTCTTATTGATACCTACTAACACGTAAATGGTATTAGAATCTGTTGGAGGGCAGGGTAGATTTGAGATAGAATATCAGCAAAACTCAGCAGTATCACAAAGAGTGAAACCTCACAGCAAGGTATGTAATGTTATTCTTTCTAAACTCTCTAAGGATGTTCTTTTATATTTTTGATAACATATACTTGCCAATTTTTTCCTTTTTCTTTATTCTATTTTAGATTTTATTGTATTTTTCTCTCTGAAAGCCTAGAGTGAGACTTGACAATTATAAAGTGGTGATAGACAAGGAAACATAGGCTGTCTGAAGATAGACTTGTGACCAGAAAAGTAAAAGATATCATGACAACGTGATGAATTTCAGGTCTGCAGAATCTGCACATATTCCTCGTGCCATGTCATGCTTGGAAAAATGACCAAAGAACTTACTGCACTGAATGAAGGATTTGTGCTTCACACAAATATCGAAACAAACGTGGTCTTTTTAAATGTCTTATTGAAGTGAGGCTGTCTTGCCATGAACACAATCATTAATGACCTCCATGCACGTACCATTGATCTTCGCGGAAAAGCAAATGATCTTCCTTTTAAAGCAAATGAAGCAGATCTAGCAGTACTTAAAATCTAGTATCCTGCAGAGAGCACAAACAACTTGTCAACAGCCCATGCCCTAATGCTAACAGTAATTTCCCTTCCTCTCGGACAATTGCTTCTCCACTGGGAGAAGGGACACCAATAGGTGTAATGGTGCTATGTACATCACAGAAAGGGCAGAGAGCCTTCTTTCCATGCAGTATTTGGAAACAGACAACAGCTTTTGTTGTTAGCGGATTCAGGTGGCATTAACAATTTGCAAAAACAAAGTTGTTTTCCTGGAATACAGCTTTTAGAGGTATCCACTGGAGAACCAGAGGAGAGGGCCAGGCGGGATGAGACATTCATGCCCACAACCCAGGGAAGAGGAGAGGAGTTACCAAGGTGTTACATTAGCAGTGTCAGAAACAGAACTTGGTATAAACTTCTACCACAAGAAGTAATGAACGTCAAAGAGCTAAATTAAAGATTACAGGATATTGTCAAAGCTCAAGTCTGTCAGTTCAGAAACTATGGTTATCTCAATTACGTGGCTAAGTGCAAGTATTCTTCATTTCTTAAAATGTTCAATACTTAGAAGTGCCTCAGTATTTCTGGTCATTTTGGAAGGAAAGAAACTTTTTAAGTATTGTGCTCTTCCATCATCTACCTTTCGCTATCTTTATGCTGTGCAGGAACAAGGCTGATTGAAGAAATAAGAGATAGGGAGGGAGGCTCTCATATAATTAGGAAGTCTCAGAAAATTATAATTAAGCAGCAAAATACATTATTTCCTCATGAGAACAAAATAATTCCAATCTCCTGGGTAAGTCTGTAGTTTGACTCTTGAAATAATTTAACTGATACTATAGAACAATTCAAAAGCATTTCTAACAACAGTCTTGGCTGAACTAAGGATGCCTTGCTTCGCTATTGGAAATTGTGCTAAAACTATTCTTATCTCTGTGTACAGCATCTCTTGGTCAACATGCAACAATTCTGTACTGTAAAGTTTGTCTGAGACAGTTCTATGTGGGGTGCTAAAGGTTTTCCTATACAAAGTTGCAGTAAGTGAAAAGCAAAGTTCAATCACATGTTGATCTTCATGAGACAACTTCAAAGCTGATGAGTTCTGATGAAAAATGCGGATTTGAACATGCTTTGCTGTATCACAAAGTCTGTAAGAAGCATCAATATGAATGCAGAGTCACGGTTAGTGCTTGTTTGATTACAGAGGATAGGCCTTCTGCTGACAGATAGCAGGGATCTTGGCTCCTCTTCAGACCTCTCCTGTTTTAGACTCTGAACAACAGATACAAAGATTATGATACCTATGAGATTCTTTGTTTCACAAAAATTCAATATAGAGGAATGCAGTCATTTTTTTTGATGGCACTGTCCAAATAGAGGAGAGAAGCTAAATATTATGGGAAGGTATTAGTCCAAATTATGTTCAGTTATTCCTTTGATGATTCTCCTGTTGGTAAAACAAGAGAGAAAGTATCAGGGGAAATAAATCAGTGCCCATTGATGTAAGCTGTTTGTTGATGCGAATGTAACTACCAAATAACTTCAAAAACTTGCTGTATATTGTATAGATTTTTATGGTTGCTTCAGTGTTTTTACAGATTATTGGGTTCGTATCTTCGAACTTGCTTGCCTTCTGGTACTGCTGTGTACCTGGATTATGCTTGGATTATCAAAATTTAATGATGTGTGGAAACAGTTTTATACTTTCTAGGTTATCACAAAATGCATAATCTCCATTATTCTGTGAAACTAAGTGCTATTTGAGCACTCTAAAATGGTGTTTAGTATGTAATTTTTTTTGTCTGTTGGTGAGAATTTAAAATCAAGGTCAAATATATATATCAGTTTATTATGTCAATTTCCCAAAAGGTCATAAACATTATTCTCTCTTTGAGCTGTTATTTTCAACAACAAAACCCTTTAAAAAGCTACAAAACTTCATGAACATCTTCTTCCTCATTTTGTAGCAGATTTCTTTGTGATGTGTGCTGCTCAGTTCTGTATACCAACTCGGGAATATACAAGTTAGCTCAGCTGCCATTTGGCAAACCCAGTTTCATATTTCATGCATATGTTTTATGACTGAACATGTGTTGTCTTCTGGGGGGTTTTTTTGTGGGTGGTGGGATTTTTTTCTTCCTTTATTTGGTTTTTTTTTGTGAGTGTGTTTTTGCCATCCAGAGTGGTGGCTGTTGCGTCTGCTACAGTTGCTTCTACAAGGGCCTCACTGAACGTGGCTGTCCTATTGCATTGAAGCTATTTTCAGAAAAATAATGATGCCAGTTTTACAAGTAAAATCTAAATGGGTTGGAACTAGAGTTTGTCCTTTTAATCTGTGGTCAGATTATCAACTACACAGCGTACGGAGGAAACACCATGACATAACTGTAGGCTGAACTTCTCTCTTACCCACACTACTCTCACTGTCCTCTTCCCTATGCTGATCATGGTGCTCCTGACAGAAAGCATCTCTTCCAGGGCTCCCTTGGTGACCTGGTCACGTTTCTGTTACCAGTGTTCCCGTGTCAGCCCAGGGGCTGAAATTACAGCAAACCCACACTTGGGATCCGGTCTTGGGGTCAGAAGTCACCTTAAGTGGAATGTACAGTTATTATCTATATATGGAAAGTGTGTAGTCTTAATGTGTTTTTAAAGGTTTGCTTATTAATATATTGATATAATGTATCTTTAAAAAACCAAAGATTGAAATACACCTAGCTAGGAGTGCCATTTGAAATTATATTTGGAATTACCTGTGTCTATCTGTATGTTTCTGTCTATTGTGGTGTTAACGGTTTAGTTTCAGAAATATATTTGAAGCTATTTTCTGAATTAATTCTCCGGACTGTTCTCCATGATGTCAGAAGAGATGTGTCTCTTAACTGTTTGCTCCTGTTTTTATAGATGGCTATACCACAGATGACATTGAATTTTACTGGCGTGGGGGTGATAACGCGGTCACAGGAGTGACAAAGATCGAGCTGCCACAGTTCTCCATTGTAGACTACAAGCTTATCACCAAGAATGTTGTTTTCTCTACAGGTTTGTGGAGGGGAAGTTAAAAGAGGAATTCACTGGGAAGACTGTTAGAGATGAGTTAATTCTCAACATGCAGTTCAGGATCTGAGCAAAAAATATAGGAACAGGAATAAATTAGAGCAGCAACTGTAAATTTCGAAAGGAGCAGTTTTTATTACAGCTTTCATAGTGTATAAGGCATCGCTCATTAACATATGAAGAGCACACAGTCTGTCAAGTTAAGGTTCAGTCAAATAAGCTCTATTTTCTGTTTTCATGTGAAAACTGATTAAGCCACTTGAACACCTCAGTGCCCTAAACCCAGCAAGGAGTAACCCAGCCTGTAGGAAATTTAGGAACCTTCTTCTTACTATTCGCAGATATTCCATGTGCCAAGCTGTGAATGTTTTAGACAAAATATTGAACAATCCTTGTTCCATAGGATTTGTAAGTTCAGCCTATGCTAGCAAGCATATGACTTGCCAAAGGCTGAAAAGGGGCTTTCTGAGGAGGAGTAGAAAATAAGATTGGATTTCATAAAACAAAAAACAAAACAAGAAACAACTAGAACATTTCAATTGACATATTAAATTGTTCAAGAATGACAAAAGTTGGGTTGGGCTATTACTATGTGATGTTCTCCTCCTACTTGAGAAAGCTGCTGTTTGTGTTAAAAAAAGAAAAAAAAATCTTCAAAATTAAATTTCTAGATGTGGATAGAAATCATCTTTGGAGGGTGTATATAAGGGTCGTGCATCCCAAATTCTTTGAAACCAAACAGAAATGGGACTTGAATAGTGATGTCTGGGCACCATTTCAACAAGTGTTTCATACACCAAAATATTTCTGGTGTCCAGCGATAAAGGGCAAGTGTTGCGTTGCTTGGAGAGAAAGTTAGAATAAGGGTTACCCTGAAGTGGGCATACTGTAGATTGTCAGGGAAGAAGCATTTCCATGCTTTGATGGTCTGAAATATATTTTGGCTGTTGATCATTGAATATTATGACTACAAGCAGATACTCACCTAGAGCATCTTTGTACCCTTAGAATAAAAGATTTTTTAATCCCAATTCTTGCTAGAAATTCTGCAGCTGATTATCCTGTATCTTTCAACTCTGTGTATACTCTGTGTTGCATGAAACAATAAAACCAAAATGACAGAAAAATGTTTTCAGGCTTTATACAAGTAAATTATGGCCATACTAAATATTCTCTTTTAGGTGCCTACCCAAGGCTGTCTCTCAGCTTTAAACTTAAGAGAAACATTGGTTACTTCATTCTGCAGACCTACATGCCTTCTATTCTGATCACTATCCTGTCCTGGGTTTCCTTCTGGATTAATTATGACGCTTCAGCTGCAAGAGTTGCTTTAGGTAGGCATTTTTACACATCTCATGCAATGTGCATTAGCTGAATGCTTTTTCTTGCTTCTGGCTTAGTGGATAGTGCATGATTTGAAAAATAAATCTGTTAGATCTTTTTATGTCTGGCTTGTTAAGCTTTGTATTATTTGAATCAGCATTTAAATCATGACAATTTAAATAAAAATTAAAGTGATTTCATGTCTGAATTAAGTAACTGTATAATTATTGTAACCAGAATTACCCTAGTTGTCTCAACGTTTTCTGTTGTTGTTTTACTGCTTGTTTTTCTCCAAAGAGAATGCATTTAGTTTGCTTTTGCCCATGGCAGTCCAGAATACACAGTCAGCACTGTGTTATGGATTATAAATCGTGTTTTCTTTCAGGTATGAATTAAATAAAGTTTTACGAGTGTTGTATAGCTAACTTCTCCTTAAGTTGAGGGCTTTTTTTCCTTACTGTTACCTTACATTCTGAAAGCAAAACTATTTCCCTAATTAATCTCTAGACTACTCTTACATCTTATCACTAATCCCATGTGTGTTTGTTTACACTGTGCCCCTTGTCAGAGGATCCAAGCATGTTACAAAAATAAGTACGAATATGTATTGCCAAATTCTGTATAAATCAGACTGATTCCTGCCAGCACAGCTCTCATATAGATAAAATAAGTAAATCACCACAAAAAATACAATTAAGAATTTGACATTTTAACTTTAGAGAATACTGTCTGAGTTTGTCCAGGCCTTTCTGTATAGCATTTTTCCATAAGAATTCGAGACTGAAGATATCCTGAAAATGCTGGAGGAAAGCAAGGTAACAGTGATTCTAGGCTGGTAATTTATAACTGAGTCTCATTAGAGAAGGTTACAGTTTAGCTGATTAAAAACATATTCATAGTATCCAACAACTATTTGTTTGAATGCCATATATTACAGGTGTAATTGTCTTTGCTGTACAAAAAATTAAAGACAAAAATAAGGAATATCGACAGAGATTGGGGGGGGGGGTTTCCCCCAGGAAAAAAAATCTCCTAGAATTTTTCAGCTCTAGCATTTGAATATTTATGAGCTATTATGCTAGAAATTTAAAATTAATTCAATCAATAGACTTGTCAATTCTTTTTTCCAGGGATCACAACTGTACTCACAATGACAACAATTAACACCCATCTTCGAGAGACTCTTCCCAAAATTCCATATGTGAAAGCCATTGACATGTACCTTATGGGATGTTTTGTCTTCGTTTTCATGGCTCTGCTGGAGTATGCATTGGTCAACTACATCTTCTTTGGCAGGGGACCTCAGCGTCAAAAGAAAGCGGCAGAAAAGGCTGCCAATGCCAACAATGAGAAGTTGCGAATGGATGTCAATAAGGTAAATAGAAACGGGGATGTATTTTTAGCATTGCCCCAGCAAGGCAGACTTTCACTTCTGCCAGACAGAGCTTTAAAATGTAATTTCTTGTAGAAAATGAGTGGAGTGGGATTATTATGATCTTGTCTTAGCTCTGCAGAGCGGTGTACTTAGCCACTTCAGCAATGAATGCTGCCCTCTAGTTTGGAAAACTGAATGACTTTTTTCCTAAAGCATGTGCTCAGTTAAGCTTTACTGTGAGATGTTTTCTTAGTCAGGATGTAGAGTTAAATATGTCTGAGCTGTATCCAAAGGAACAAATCCAAAATGATGGCTATAGCTGATATTCTAGTAAGAGCTGTATGGAATGTTGGAAATAAAACCTAAATTTAACCTACTTTCATAAAACTTTCAGATGACCTGGATAAGAAATATTTGCTACAGATGTGTTTAAAGCTTGAAAAGTTTGCATATTTTCAACATATAATGGCCCAGGATATTGTTGACTCAATGAGAAACTGCTCAGAAATAAAGCATCAACTTGCTGTGCACTTAATTTTGAATCTGAAAATGGTCCCCTGGGGATGGAGAATTGAGACACAAAATACATTTGCTAAGATAACACACTTTTGGAAGAAGTATCCATTATGATTAATGAAAATGGAGCACTTACCATAAAGCACTTGTCATTTTTCACTTTGACCATTTTGGACGAGTTTCACACAGTGGCAAATCTGGGCTGAATGCTAAAATGTACTCAGTGTGAAATGTATATACAACTTTCACGTTAAATAAAGTTAAATTATCTTCTCTTTTTGGGGGGAAGGGGACGTGGGGGGCAGGGACATAGGAACCTTTTTGAATTTTTAATTCAGCATGATAGTCCAAGGGGGAAAGATCAAAATCTGAATTAAAAAAAAAAAAAAATCAGAAAAACAAAGTGATTATTTGTGAAGTGGAAACACAAGTTTCATACAGCTCTGGTGGTGGAATTTTTCATGTTTGTTCAGAACTTCTACACTACGATAGTTTGCCTGCAGACAGAGGAACATTTCGTTCCATTTTTGCTGGAACAACAAAAATTCATCGCATGTTGATAGCATGAAACAGTTTTATGCTTTATAGTTTATAGTCTTTTAAGATGGAGGATTATATTTTCATGGCTCAGATCTCACCCATTAATTTATTTTTTATTTTCAATTTGAGATTTTTTAATGAATGAAGGCAAATGCATAATGATGAGATTAATTTTGATGTTATGGTACCTTTTAGATCACCTTTTACCATTGTAAAGTTCACAAAGACTGTAAAATCTTTTTCTTTCTATTGGTGATTTTTCAGCAATGTGAAAAAAGTTGCAAGCTTTTACTTAATTTGTCAAGTTTATTTTTTAAAACTCAGTTTACCTTTAAACAATCATACCTATTTAACTAAGAAACCCTGTAGGTCATGTTAGGAGACTAGATCTGCGTTTAGCTGAAGTCTTTCCTCTCACATCAATGGAAATTTAAGGTCCATAGGTGTCAGTGTCATCACTAGCTGAGGTATATTTTTGTATACTGTTTCACTTGCAACATTTTCGGTATACATATTCATAACATGTCATCTAACAGAATAGTCAAAGTGTAGTGGCAAATTGCTAATCATGAACTAGAATTTGAAAGCACTAACTAGTCTACTAATCCAATCTAGTACGCAAAATAAATTCCAATAACTGTTGCAGAAATTCACCAGCCTACAGGATTAACACAAAGTATACTGGGATGTAAAGTATACAACTTTACATTATTTATATTTTTTTATAGTGAGCCTTTTGCTTAATATACCAGGCCAGCATGGTTCATAGTCTGTGGCAGTTCTGCTCTGGTATCCACTCTGATCTGATAATCAAGTTTGCAATCCCTTAAGCAGTAGATAGAGAATCAAATAGGAGAGGATCAGAAAAGAGTAGTGATCAGAGAACACTGTCCTACTGCGCATAGATTGCTCTGGGGAGGAGGAAGGGAGCTGACAGCTGTTCTTGCTGTTTGACCAGCAGCGAGAAAACAGATTCATATTTAATGGACCTGAATATTTTATCTACGAAAGGGGGCCAAATATTATATAATTATTTTCATGTACAAGAACCAGAAATGGGTCTGAACTGCTGGATTTTGTTCAGATGCAGGTTTCTATGAAAACCTAAGCAAGTATTTTAGAAATGGGACCAAACAAACACTCCATCTCTAATTAAGATCCAACATTGAAGCACTAATTTTACGAAGTATGAGTATTCCTTTGTGATGTTACTAGATTCCTCTTGTATCACTGCATGGAATACAGTGAATTTATGTTTGTGACTTCAGATACTATGTGAGAAAACATTAATGCCATGAGTAATAAACCTCAAAACATCAGGATGAAAACTTCTATACAGCTCTGTTACTGCATTCAGCGTAGACATTGTAAAAAAGGCAGATGAATAGTTACTGGAACTGCTGATGGTAGTGCAGCATCTTTGTTCATAGACTTACAGACCAGCAAATTTGTAATAGATTTCTTCAGATTCCAACACCATTTTTTGTAACGGTGTAAAACTGTTCTGAACAACAAAAGGTGGCGAGACAAGTGCAGATTAGTCCTTCCATCCACGACTACTTGCAATATCAAAGTAGAAGTTAATACATACTCCCTTTATGCTGTTGAATTCTCTGGTATGGAGAGATTCCAGGGCAGGCACAGACATTGGTAGTGTCTCTATTTATGTTCAGTGTTATTCAGAAGATACTAGAGAGCCTGCAAAACAGTATGGAAGCACAACAGAAGCTGTTCGTCCATGACTGTGATATCTGCTGAATCCAATGTGATCCCTTGGAGATCTGGTGACTCGGGAGGACAATGTCCTATTTTTTTCCTTTTGAGTGAACACCAGGCTGCCTGCAGAGCTTCCCCTGGGCTATTCCAGATGAAACTGTGGCCAAATCTTTCTTTAAATTTCATATTGTATTCATGTCATATACCCAATGTGGTAGTTTTGGTTTTTTAGAATCATAGAATAGTTTGAGTTGGAAGGGACCTTTAAAGATCTAACTCCCCTGCAATGAGCAGGGACATCTTTGACTAGATGAGGTTACTCAGAGCCCTGACCAACCTGAACTTGAATGTTTCCAGGGATGGATTATCTACCACCTCTCTGGGCAACCTGTGCCAGTGGTTCACCACTCTCATAGTAAAAAAATTCTTCCATATATCTCTAGTCTGAATCATCACAGAAGATTGTAACTTTATATACTCCCTCATTTTTAAAGATTGTTGGCTCTGCATTGGGTAAGGGAAAGGAAGAGAAGGAATTGGGCCTGTATCTATATTTGCTTCTTTAATTCTGAAACCTGAGTAATAAAATCATGGAGAAATTTAACAGACATAAAACTCAAGGAAGATTAAGACTCGATTACCAGCAGATACATTATCACAGACTTGTTAAATTATATTGGACGTGCTCAGTTTTCTGTGCAGTGACTTCAGGTTAAAATGGCTGTGTGTATGATTGTTCCACTTTTGAAGCTTCTCAAACTGCATTCAGCAGTTTATTCCTTTAGTCTAACTTGTCATCTTTTGCCTTTGTCAAGGCTAATTGTTCTGTCTGTAAACAGTCGTATTGTTGATTACAGATAAATCACTGGCTTTCTTCTTACACTAGACATCTTTCATTTATTGGAGATAGCATTCACATCATTTCCTCACTTCAAGCCTATCATCTTATCTTACGTTATTTCTTCAAATGCCTTTATTATCTTTATAGTCTCAAGTTCTTGAATCTCTTCAGTTCTGAATGGCCTAGTATTACAAGTGTATCTATAAGGATAGGTAAACTGGGAGTGTTGTGTTTCTGCTTGAAGACCTAATATGTTCCATAAATTATGGTATATATACTCTAACCCATTGTTATGCATTTTTATACTGTGGATTTCTCTATTTTAAATAGGAATGTTGACGGCCAACAGCATCCCTTTCATCCTTTGTAGGCACATGTCATGCTATCTTTTCTTTAGGATCAGGGCACTAATCTAATATATTGTCTGTGGTTCTTCCAGATGATTAACAAATATGGTAAAAAAACAGGGCCAAATTACAACCTTTGGCTTCACAATATCATTCAGGTGACTGTCTTCCTATGGGCAATTGTACATGTATCTGGGACATATCATCTCTTCAGTTTTAAGATAAGATGTCAAAGGCTTTACTGAAATCCATAACTTTCATCTGCTAATTCTGTAATTGCATAAAAATGGTCTGGAAGGATTTGGTCTAGAAGCCTCTATGAGGCTTTTCTTCTTCTAATTGTAATTTTGGTTTCTGTTTCCTTTCAGGATAGAAGGGGGCAGGGGAGGGAAGCAAGCTGCTGTGATATAACCCTTCACGTTTACTCCTTTAAGAAGCCTGTTTTTTTCTTCAAGGATATGATGAACCTTACCAGGATCTCAGTGTAGAGCCTGGTACAACTGCGAATAATTTCTGACGTAGACCCTCAGCCCTTATAATATACTTAGTTTTTGCTATCACAGTTCAAGTAACGAGCTGCTTGATGCTCTCTCAGTACTGATATATTTTCCTTAAGTTTCTTCCAGAATCCAGTAGCCAAGGCATTTTTTATTAACTTTTAAATTTTCTCTCACAATGTTGGATCCAATAATTTTATCTTGGATGTTTCTGTCTTTGAACTGTGGCATAGATGGACTTGCTGATGCTGATCACTGTGATGTGTCTGATGCATCTTCTAGTCTTTGTTGTTCAGAATGTGCAGTCCAATCACCTCCCAAGCTCTGTATTTTCAGTATATTTTCCTGTGTTACTAAATTTCCAGTCAACTTGCCTCCTATGCTGTTGTTACGTCTTTTGGATTCATTGCTGTTTTTTCCACAGTTGCTTGTCTAACTCATTTCATCCAGACTACTACATACATTAATTGACTTCTCTGGAGGTGTAAGTAAGGTGAAAATGCTTTTCAATATCAGTGATATCTGTGTATTTGTTATTCTGGA